GGTCATGTGTGTACGAATGCGTTCGATGAAAATATAGATTTCCAAATGATTAAATTGCCCGAGAGATCTCATTCCGAGCATCGGAGCAATGAAGTTACTTTAGTAGGTCGATCGGAGTTGAATCGCGCATTGCTGGCGGTCTAAGCTAGAATCAGAGGTTTCATGCGCATGTAAACACGGGACTGCCGATGTCAGCAGAAGCTTCGATTTGTAATAGAAAGAGCTTTTAGGCAACCAGCAACGAGTGCGTTCCGCTGGGTTCATGTGCTTTCGTGAACGAGGAGGAGGCAGCTTAGAGCTTTGGCCCGGGACGCGACGAGGCGAATCTTCATGGTCCCGCGACATCTGCATCCGAGAGATGAAGACGTGTCAGGTTGCTGCTGCCTAGCAGCCTCTTCCTCCGAAGCTCTTGGGCTCAGAGTATACACGAAAGTCCTACGGAAGCTCTACCATCTACCATCTACGCGTCTCTATTCAATCACTGCCCAGCCGCCCGATCGGGAGACCACTGCTCGGCCTGAGACTCCGGATGAGCAAATCGTTTATTCGTTAATTGGAAAAGCTTGAGGTAGACTAATTACTGGACCACGGTATTGGGCAGTGGTTGAACGAGAATCGAGGTCGAGTGCGAAAAGCGTCTCGCACGCTTGCTGGATCGCGATTGGTGGCTCACCAGAGCCAGTTCAGATATTTACCGCTTCCGAAAAATCCCTTCTTTCCCTTGGTAGTCTTGCCAGACTTATTGTCCTTCGTGTCCTTCGTGTCCTTCGCGTCCTTCGCGTCCTTCGCGTCCTTTGGTTGCTTTGCCGACACAGTCGCAGTCTTTTTGCTGTCCTTCGCGGAGAGCTTGTTTATCGGCTTGAGGGCCAGGGCCGGCTCCGGTCTGGTCGACTTGCTGGCCAGCTTCGACGGCTTGCTCAGCGGACTCACTTTGGCGAGCTTGGTGCCTCGCGCGACCTTCGCGGGACAGCACTGGTAGGGCTCATAGGAGGGAATCGTGGGTTTCGCGTTTTTACCGCCCATCCCGATGTAGAAACAGCCGTCGCCTGCGGTAAGCAAATACAACGAGTCAGACAAGAGAATTGGCTAGCCTAGCTCTCGCACGAGTCAACAAGACAAAAGAGAACTCTCAAAGATGTTTCAGCGGTAAAGACATTCAGTGAACAACAACAACAGAACAAAAAAAAGTAATATAGAAAATATATTAAAAAACGAACTCGAGTCCTCCCATCGTTACAAGTAATTCTCTCACTTCATCACCCTCAATGCGTAGCAAAGCCAAACGTGCATGTATGTAAGAAAACAACAAAAAATTATACTCGGCGAGTCGACGACCCTAACGGCCAGGTAAGACCAGCCTCCATTTCTTTTAATTCAACAAATTTGCCCTCTTTCGCTTTTTTTTTTTTTTTTTTTTTTTTTTTTTTTTTTTTTTTTTTTTTTTTTTTTTTTTTTTTTTTTTTTTTTTTTTTTTTTTTTTTTTTTTTTTTTTTTTTTTTTTTTTTTTATATAGAAAATCTCGCAATCACGAGTCGGGCGAGAATCTTGTCTTTCGCGAAACAGTCCGAGATCATGTTCATGGCAATTTGTAATTTCGTTAGATCATTTATATACACCCGCCATTATCATCGTTATGTACAGTAACAACAGACACTCCAAGGATCGATCGAGTTTCTTTACGAACGCGCGTATGATAACTCTCACTGTGTTTCTCTATTTTTGTTCTACATATTCTTTTTGTGAAATTGATATATCGATTTTTCTTTCTTTCTTTCTTTCTTTCTTTGAGTAGTCATTGGACGGAGGCTAGTCCGATTCTCTCGACTGCGTGCTCGCTGCAGACGACAGCTGTTAACAGAACAGAAACCATCGGCTCGCTTTAGACTTTCAGTTTTTTAGAGTTGTCAGAAAAATCCAGGATTGTAAAAGTGCGCTCAAGATCAATCTTGCGCAACGATGCTACCTCCGATCGCGTATCGAATGGATCGATTGGCATCGAGTAGCGTCGTTGCGCGTCGTCTAGCTGAATGGCGTCATGCATCGGAGGTGACAGGGTGGTGGTTAAAGTCAGGACGTGAGAGTGTAAAGAGGCATTGGCAGAAAGTCCCTAAAATTATTGAGTCAGATGATAGATGCGCATGCGATACGCCCTCCAGCCCAGCTCAACCGTGAGCGGTGGGTCAAAAACTAATAAATCAATCAATAATCCATACAAAAAAACGTTCAATGATTATTAATCGCGGTTACTTTTATGAGCAGACCGACATTACTCTACTTGGATATCGGGTGGCACACTGCTCTCTCTCTCTCTCTCTCTCTCTCTCGTTCTCTCTCTCTCTCTCTCTCTCGCTCTCTCTCTCTCTCTCTCTCTCTCTCTCTCTCTCTCTCTCTCTCTCTCTCTCTCTCTCTCTCTCTCTCTCTCTCTCTCTCTCTCTCTTTCTCTCACTTAAAATTTTCTCAAATCTCGCTCACAAAACGAAGTTCTTCATAATTCGCTCTCACGTGAATTCCTATATGGTTTCCGGCGTCCTTTCGCTTTTTTTACCTTTGTCCAGGATCTTCTTCAAGGCTTTGTTCACTGATTTGTCGTTATCAATATTGTCATCATCATCTTCATCATCGTCATCATCGTCATCGTCGTCATCGTCGCCGTCTTCGTCATCATCCTCATCGGATTCGTTATCATCATCATCTTCATCATCGTCATCGTCATCCTCATTTGAATCATCATCATCATCATCATCATCATCGTCGTCATCCTCATTTGAATCATCATTATCATCATCATCATCATCATCATCATCATCATCATCATCATCATCATCACTATCATTACCTGCATATCAATGAGTAGCGGTCATGTACGGAGCGTACGTTTTTTTTTTTAACGCGTATACTACTGTGTTTATGTCTCGTCTTGCGAAGGATTCAATGCACACGCGAAAGTGGCGCCAGGATCGAAACTACGGAACTACCGAAAACCAGGAAACAGCCGTATGAGTCTAATTGTAAGCTGAACACGCAATCCACGTAGTCACTTCTGTGCGTATGCATTTATTTATTTCTCTTTGCACGTATGTAAGGTATCCATGTGATATATTAATTTTGTGTAAATGAGATAAGAATCAAGTAGTTGTACCAAGCGGAGGGGCGCCTTGTGTTAACGTATGTTGATGTTAAGCATGCGGCGGAGAATACGTTAGACGCGTACGCGCTGCTCTCTTTATTTATTTATTTTTCTCAAAACGACTAATTCAAAAAAGTCACATGCCTTTACGTCGAACGTAATCTCCTAGCGTGGTAGTAGCTCAATATAACACGTCGCGCCTTGAACGTACGACAGTGCGAATGATTGATAAAAATCTGCGATATAATATGTATATGTATGTATAATATAGAGAAATAGAAAAGAATTACGCCAGAGGCAAAGAAAATTATAAAAGAAAAATTGGTATCGCGATAAAAGCTGCGCGCTGCGTCTCACCGCGACGCGGCGCCACCGGTCTGCTGCTACGTTTCGCGGGTCGAGCAGTATTTCTCGGGAGTCATCGTGATGACGTCGACCGCGTCGCCACGACGCATTTCGTGTAAACGCGTCAAAGTAAATGCAATCGTCACTAGAGTTAGTTACATATTTTTTTTTCAATTTTGCTATGAAAAATAATGAAACAAAAAAAAACAAAGCTCAACAGCTGACTAGAAGTTTCGCTCGCCAAAGCGAATTTTCGTTATATTTATGCGCGAACGTAAATTTATATACGTATGTAATAATATCGATTGCTTAATGCAAACTCAAAGCGTAGCGTCTGCTAATTATTTTTGTATCGAATCACGGCGATCGTGATGGCGGCAACGTGATCGGCGTTATCACCACTGCGTACGTATTGTACTTGTAACCCGGCGGGATCGTTATTACCGATATTAAAGTGACAAAGAACAATACACCAGTGATTATAATCATCATCCTAGAAATTTCCTTACTTTTCTGTTCAATTAGCCATTCCAGAACTTTCTCCTCGTTCTTAAGATTACCTACAAAAGTCACACACATCAAATGGTCAATCGTTTTGTATGGATAGTTTCCGGTGGGCATTTGGGCACGACTTGTACTTTTCTTAATGTTCCTTTTATATTATTATTATTATTATTATTCCAGTAGAAAGGTTCGAGTCGTATCGATTTTTCTCCCGATATATTTTTTTTCCGGCGATGCCTTCACGACGTATTTCCCCTTAGAAAGGTATAGGGAAAAGGTGAATATGACGAATAAATGTTACAGGGGAAATTCGTCGATTCGGTTCGATCGATACTAAATCGTGTTATTGGGTGAAAGATAAAGTGTGTGAGACAAAGGGACATGAAGAGCCAAACCAAAAAAGCATTCGAGTCTTACCGTCGTACATGATGGGGACACCAGTCTCGTAGTAAACGAGGGCTGGGAATGAGAAAATGCCGATCTCGGCCGCCAGCTTTGCGTCCTTTGACTTAACGAATTGTATTCCGTGCTTATCGGTGTCGTCGTCGATGGTCTCGAGTTCCTCGAGAATCTCAGAACAGGATTCGCACTTGTCATCGTCTGCAGGAAAAAAACGAAGGAACACAGTAGGAAGTGAATTGATGGAGGAAAATTGAAAATTGTTCTAGGATGACTCACAGAAAAATACAGCAAGATGTTCGACGTCATTGATGAGGACCTGAAGGGTCTTCCGGTCGACGTTCTCGATTACGTCGGGAGTGGAACTGTGAAGATCGAGGACCCAGTCCAGGATGGCCTCCTCGTGCATCATGTCGCCGGTGTAAATCTGCCTGAACTTGTGCCTGTAAAATGCGAGTGCCGGAAGACTCGGAAGATCGTACTCCTTCTCGATACCCTCGTCGGAGATCTTCACGAAGTCAATGTCCTTCTCCTCGCACTCGTCGTCGATGTTCTCCAGTTCCTGCAGGATCTTCTGACTCTTCTTGTCGCCCTCCTTGTCTGCACGTAAATCGGGCAATCGTGTAAAAGGGGTTTTTGAATTTTTCAAAATTTCAATTTTCCAAAATACTAACAGAAAAACACGACCACGTGGTCGTTCTCGTCCAAAATGTTCTCCAGCATCCTGCTGTTGACCTCTTCGATCTTTCCAGGAATCTCAAGAGTGTTCTCGTCCGTCAGCCAAGAGAGGACCTCGTCCTCGTCCTCGATGTCACCACTGTAGATCAGTGGCTCCTTGTTCCTGAAGAAGGCCAACGTGGGGAAGGTCTTGATCCCGTGCTTCTTGGCGACCCCCGTGTCTTCGGTCGTCACGAAGATGATTCCGGTCTCGTCCAGTTCGTCATCGATGTTCTCCAGTTCCCGCAAGATGTTGTCGCACTCGTCGCCTTCGTCGCAATTGCCGCCTGAGGAGTTCGAGAAAATAATAATAAGCACGTAGATCTTCAGGATTTTCGAAAAGTTTGAAAAATTAAATACTCACTGAAGTATACGACGACGTATTCGTGTTCCTCGATCAGGTCCACCAGGATCTCATCCGTGACTTCCTCGATCGTCGCGGTGTTCTTCTGCTCGATCAGCCACTTCAGGACCTCGTCTTCGTTGAGTAGATCGCCTTCGTAGATCGCGGGGATCTTTTCCTCGAAGTAAACGAGCGTCGGCAGATGATCGATTCCAAATTCTTTGGCTTCGGCGTCATTATCCATTCGGACAATGACGATGCCTTCCTTCTCCAACTCGTCGTCGATGTTCTCGAGTTCATTAAGGATACGTATGTCCTGCTTGTCGTCCTTGTCGTCTGAAGATTACATGATTTTTATTTAATCGTCGAAATTCCACGATTTCGAATTTCAGACTGACATAGAGACTCACAAAAAAGAACCGCCAAGAATTCCGTACTGTCTATAAGTTTTTCCATCATTTCATCGGTTACTTCCGGAATTTCGCTGTGCTTCTTTTGATGCAGAAGCCACCCCAGAAGTTGATCCTCGTTCATGAGATCGCCTGTAATTGATCAACCCTTACAAAGTGCCCAAGTGACCTTTCGATCGGCTGATAATTTTCTTGATCAAGATAAAAAAAATAATACCATCGTAAACATGCGGTATTCTCTTTTCGAAAAATACCAACGTTGGAATACTATCGATGCCATATTCCTTAGCTTCCTCGTCGTCATCGATCTTGACAAAGGCAATGTTGTGCTGATCGCAGTCGTCATCGATGTTCTCCAGTTCAGCCAGAATCTTCTGGCTCTTCTTCTGATCCTTGTCATCTGCAATAACGATGGTAAAGCACATAAAGGAGAGTTCAAGAAGTCTTGATATACTTATAAAAAATAAAATACTGACAGAACAGCACAGCAACGTGTGGCATTTTCTCAATGACCATGTCCAGCATCTCATCCGTGATGTCTTCGATCTCATCGTTCTTCTGCTGATGCTCCAGCCACTTGAGCACCTTCTCCTCCTCTTCCAGGTTGCCCTCGTAAAGGGTCGGTATGCCCCTCTCGAAGTAGAGCAGACTGGGAATCCTCTCTATACCGTATTCCTTAGCCTCCTCCATGTTGTCGATCTTGACGAAGACGATGCCCAGCTGATCGCACTCGTCGTCAATGTTCTCCAGCTCATTGAGCACTCGCTGAGACTTCCGGTCGTTGTTGTCGTCTTGAAAAATAAGAAAATCCGTACAGTCGGCTCGATCGAGGAAAATATTAAGATACATAATAATAATAATAATAACACGTGTAATTCTATATACGAACAAAAAAGCACGGCCATGGTGTTTCCTTGTTTAATAAGACGATCCAGCATCTCATCGGTGACGTCCTCGATCTCGTCCTTCTCCAGCTGAGCCAGGAGCCACTCCAGGATCTCATCCTCGTTCTCCACGTCACCTGATTCAACGCATTCGGCATTGGAGTAGCGACGAAAGTGGGAAATTACTTTAAACGGAATCCAGAATACGAACCATCGTAGACATTTGGAATTTCCTTCTCGAAGTAAACGATGGCAGGTACGGAATCGATTCCGAACTCCTTGGCGGCCTTTTCGTCGTCGATCTTCACGAATTGAATTCCGTGCTTGTCGCAGTCGTCGTCGATTTTCTCGAGCTCGTTCAGCACCTGCATCGAATCCTCGTCTCCGTGATCGTCTGCGATACGGGAAAGGAAATGGTCAGTTGGGTCTGGGAAAATTGATAATCAAAATATCGAATTAAAGATTTACGAACAGAAGAGGACGACCAGGTTGTCGATATTTCCAATCAGAGTGCCGAGAGTCTTGGCGGTCACGTCTTCGATCACGTCTTCTTCGTCACCGGTGCTTTTGTTAGCCACCAGCCATTCAAGCACATCTTCCTCTTTGCTCAGCTCATCTTAAATCAATTGGACAATCGACTTGACAATTGTGCGTTCTTTGTATTAAGATTAACTTCATTGACATTTTCATGAATCTCTTACGTTCGTATATTATTGGTATCTGGTGCCTGTAGTAGACCAGGACAGGCAGCGGACCCAGGTTGTACTCCTCGGCAAGTTCCTCATCTGCGATCTTGACGAATCCAATTCCCAGCTGGTCGGCTTCGTCGTCGATATTTTCCAACTCTTGAAGGGCCTTCGAACACTTTTTACAGTCCGGCTTGTCTGTCCCATTTTAAAGTAAAACAATGTTAATTCCTGATTCCAGGATCTATACAAAGCTATGTAAATCTACAATATACAAACTGTACGTTCGTCTGTATCATTTTCGAATCTCTCGAAATTTATCTATACTTTGTACAAGTTGAGTAAACAATAAGTGGAGCTATGGACCAACGGCAAGTAAAAGCGACGCGTCTTATGAAAGTCTCTCTAGGCGTTCGTCTCCAGATCGGAGAGTAATTTGTCATTCGATCTTTATTTGCGTCCGAGCTCTAAGAATAAGCGCCCTTGCGCCGCTGCGAAGAGACCCAAAGCGTCGCGACGCCCCATCGGGTTCTGCTTCTTGGACGTCCCTCAGGACTCGATGACGTTCGAGACAGCTCTTAGTTAGCTCTGACTCAACTTTCATCCAGATCAGCTTCCGTTTTTACCTCAAATTCTTCTCGTTCCTCAACGACTCAACAAAATTCTTATTTACGCGCGTCACTCAACCCGACTGTCTCGCAATACTTGACTAACCGAATGTCTGTTGAGTAAGATCCTCGTTTCATTCATAAAAATTTACAAAAACAAGTCTAAATATCCAAACCACAGTAACCGACTCGAATTTTGAAAAACACTGTAGGACGATCGGCTGCAATAATTATTCGAATTATTCATTGGACTGTAGCCAGGGAATAAAGTGCTTACTGATGCCAAGAGCTTCAAAGTATATTAACTCGCGTTTAATTGGCATAATAAAATAAAAAATTTGTAGATATACTCACAATCAGTTAGCCAATAAGGTCGATTAGATTATATATCAACATATATATATACATACACTGAGTCAAATAATTCTGTAATCTCGTATACTGCTTATGGTAACTTTTATAATAAATTTGCACAGCTATAATGATACTAGGTACATGTAGGAATGCATGCTGCATATACGAGATGCTCAACGATCCTAACTGACACATTAAATAACAGTATATTGAATGAGATCGATTATCGATTGGCTGTTTGGCACGAGATACTGACACTTCGACAGGATGTCACGACCCTAACTACTAACTAGTATCCCGCTGCTAGTCACGAGACACGACGTTCAATATATATATATATCAATGGATTCACAGATCAATGAAATCCTTGAGGGATGCTGCGCGATACAATCATCTCTGTATCAGATTAGTATCCAAGCACAACATTCAGGTTAAGATGAATACTAAATACTTGCACTAGTGCACATAGCTGCAATTGGATGAACTACAGTTAGACACACGTAACGACAACACGAATGACATTGGAATCGAATTAAAAGCCAAAGTAAGGATTAGGAAAAAAATTTTTTTTTTGAAAATCAGGCATATCGATTTTCTAATTTCAAGGAAATCAGATGCTCTTACGGGAGAGTGTGGTTAGTCGTGAAAGTTTTGCGGTGAACTTTCTTTCGGTTTGCCTTTTCAAGCAAGAATGGCTAGAAATGCTCTTTTTTTGGAAACTATCGCTTCCGGAGGATTTTTTGAAAAATTACGCTTTTTTGAAAAATTGAGAAAAAATCTTGAGCTGATTGTATTTCTGGAGATCAGCCATACACGATGCTTAACGTTACGATATATATATTATCGTACCAGTTTACGATTTCCGTATGTATACTGTATAGCTATGCGCTAGATTTTTGGGTGGATGTGTAAATATGAAGCATTGCGTGCTGGCAAAGCGTATTTGTAAAGCGATGCTATTTGGTACATCGGTAGGTATAGAAACATATGGCTTAATGTAAATATGTGAATATGTGAATATGTGAATAAATGAATAATCGAGGAAGGATCTTGATTGCGTGTAAAAGTGTACTTACTAGAGCCGGCGCCGGCACACCGCTCCGTATCAGGACCTATCCACGCCAACACACACAAAAGAGTTTCACATGTATGTATTATTTGCACGTATGTACATGTCATGCGAATTGCAAAGTCTTGATTTTTTTGAAAAACGTAAATTTTCGAAAAAAAAAAGTCTAAAGATATCGTTATCGGTGCACGAGACTTTGATAAACGCAAAAACACCCAAGACGCATCGGATCGAATGGCGTGCCGATGCATCTAACGAGCATTTTCGTATAATTAATCACGAATGGAATTGATGTGTTTGGTAATGAAGGTTATACTATTTTTGGAATTAATAAAGATTTATAATGAGTCAAGAGTTTGGAAGTGACTACGGGTGAGACCGGTGCGTGTAATGTTTACATGAACGCACATTTGACTCGATTAGGATTACATATGTATGGAATGCTGTTACGCAACTGACAAAATTTATGATCGTAAAAAGATCTATGCTTCTCATCTAGATCTTTCTATTTGTGATCGTAAACTCATCAGATTTGGGTCAGTCGATGCATTTCAATGAAAGACAGAAAATATTTTAGTCGAGACATAACGAGTAAATACTGGACGAGACGAACACGTGGGAGAGATATTTTTTTGTAATTCTGACTCTCCTCTTTGAATTTGAACCAACTGTCAAAATGTTCGTCGCGCCAAAATACAATTGTTAAGGGACGCGTTAATTTGCGCATTTTGCAAATGTTAATTCGAGAGTACGTTTTTGGCACTTCTTTATCTCTTCCTCCATTGGGATTTCAAAGTGGTGGACTTCCGGATGACTTTTCGAGGACTTCGTATATTCTCTATAAATTGACCTGACCTGAGCCTAAATAATCGAGAAGGTCAATTGTTAGGAACGACTGGCCGGAAAAGGACTCACAGAAAAGGACAGCGACGAATTCAGTATCCTCGACGATTTTCTCTAGGATCTTCGCGTTGACTTCCTCGATCCGGTCGGGAAGATCCATAGCCTCGAGACTCGTCAAAAAGTCAAGGACGCTCTCCTCGTCCATCAAGTCACCTGATAAATAAATAAATAACATATTTATTGGGAAGAACAATTTTAAGACGAAATTTCTAAAGTGGATGCACATTTCCAGCGAGTGAAGAAATTCCACAAGCGAGCCTGGGAATTTTCTTTCTTGAGTAATTCGTACATTTGACTATTACGTGTTCCTTGTTAGACACGTTAACGCTATAGGTAATACGGGTGATCCTGGCTCGAGTCCAGGAAGCAAAAGGCACACTGTGTACCCAGGCCCCCTGGGTACACAGAGTGACGTAGAGACTTCAGCCCCGGAAAACTAAGATGGATCCATTTCAAGTAGCCGCACTCTGCGAAGTGACTGAATGCGCGTCGCGACGCTCGTTAATCCAGGCGGATCTCAGGATCGGCAAAGCGATCGAGAAACGAGCCGGATTAACGAGGGTCGCGACCATTTCAAATTCTAAACTCGAAATTGCCCACTTTCACTCTACTTGGGCCGGTCCCTCGAGAGAGAGAGAAGAAGGACGGAAGACTTTGGGCGTCACTCGCCCGAGATTCTGGGTCAAATGCTATTGCCTGAACCTCGGACATTTCTCATTCCTGGCAAGGTCACAACTTCGGCCAGTTTCCAATAAAAATTTGACCATTTGGCCGGCTCCGCACTCGAGGCTCCTTAAGACAACAGTTGCTGAGCTGGCTCGACCCAGCTGGACCTCGGAATTCTCTGGCTTTGTCGTTCTTAGGTTTTTACATTTTTTTCAAATTTTCCTTTTGTTTCCTTCTCCCAGTAAAAAGTAACAGGGCCAGATTAATGCACTGACGGGCCACACTCGCGGATTGACTTACCGTCGTAGATGATGGGTTCCCTTTCGCGGAAGTAAGTGAGCGCCGGGAAATTCTTGATTCCATATTGCTTGGCTAATCGCTTGTCGTTTATCTTGACGAAGTCAACACCGAAGCTGTCGGTGTCGTCGTCGATTTTCTCTAATTCAGCTAGGACCTTGTCACACGTTAAGCAGCTCCTGGCATCTGTCAAACAGAACGATCGGTTATCATAGATCGGAGTTGTTATTATTATTGCGCCGTCAGACGCAATTCCAAGGGACAAGCATACGACGATACCGATGGGATCAAAGGAGAAAGCCTTTCTTCTTTCGGGGTGGTCACGTGTCTTCGTGATCGTCATTATGATCGGCTAGAAGTCATAAGTGGCCACGTGGGTATCGAGAAACCACTTATACGTTCTAAATATATCAGCACGCTGTAGGTACTTTAAATATAGTCCTAACTCTAAGGCCACCTTCGACTCTTACGTAACACGAGGCCTGGAACGACGGAACGGACGTTTCGAAGAATTCCCAAGTTCCTCTGGTACTTCCGATTGTTTTCTTCTCGTAAAGATTTCACGACCGGCCGATTTCACGAAAGCGCTCCTATAGATTTCGCGCGATTACATATTTCTTTATTTCGAGCAAAACCTCTCAGCGCATTCATTCTAAACGTTCGAATATCCTCCGGATTCTTTTCGCACTTAATATTTAGCATTTACTATAGCTGTATGTACATACTTTCCAACTACATAATCGCCAGTTCTTAAATCACGAATAGTGTTTTAGAGGGGGCCATCTGCCTAGGACTTTGAATGCCCAAGAGTCCCGCGGAGCTCCCACTTGACTCGTGATCTGCACGGGACCGAATCGTCCTACTATATTTGACCTCGAACGGAAGAAGGTTGCATAAAATTGTCGAAAAATGGAATTTTTAATTTTTTTCTTTGTCAGTAACCAGAGAAATCGCTCGTGCGTATTTCGGTCTTTGCCCGAGCTTTGCCCGAGCAAATGTGGATACACGGGCATCGTTTCTGATTCACGTTCAGTCGGTACGAGTAGGTATTGGATTACAGGTCGACGCAGATACGATAGTCCTGGAGACGCCAGGGCAAAGGGAGGAGCGTCGTGACGATAGTCGTGGGAAGGACGTCAGGCGTCGATCGTCGATTCGGATAAATCGGTAGGTGGATCCATGCGTCACGGCCGATCCTAAGTGGATGCTGCTCTCGGAGTCAGGGAAATCTCAGACGGAGCAGGTTGCGCCCAGCGAGCATCGACGAATTTCGGGTTTCCACCGAGCGACGTGCCGGCGCGCGATGTCGCCCTCCATTTTAGGAGATGGCTCCTGAGAATAGAGCCGGGAGAGACGGGAAAGCCACCGCGAGAGAGAGAGAGAGAGAGAGAGAGACAAAGTCCCTTCTTCTCCTTCTATCTCTCTTCCTGCTCTCACTCACTCGCTCTCTCGCTGTCTCTCTTTCTCACTGTCCTCGTGCGTCTCTCTTGGAAACGTAAACCGACCCAATAACATTGGCCAGCAGACTCCCCCGCAAGACAAGCTCAGGCAGAAGCTGCCAGTGGAGCAGAAGAGTCCGAGAGTCCGAGAGTCCAAGAGTGCCAGTTGCAGAGGGAGAGACTCGAGAGAGTCGCAACATTTATTAGGAACTTTTCTCAAAAAAAAAAAAAAAAAAAAAAAAAAAAAAAAAAAAAAAAAAAAAAAAAAAAAAAAAAAAAA